GGCTTACCTCGTCGACCACATTTTATCCGGAAAGTCACGTCTGAGAGACGATCCACTATGTCATATGGGCCTTCCCATGGAGATGACAACTCAGGAGACTTCCTTTTGGTCTTCCTGGGATTATACAACCACACCTTGTCTCTTGGCACAAAGCTGACTTCAGTAGATCTCTTATCGTAACATAGCTTCATGGAATCAGCAGACGTTTTCAAGTTTGAATGCACTTGATGATGAATATCGTCCATCCTTTCAGATAACACTTTCATGAACTCTGACACATTTTCAGGCAACTCTTCATAAGGTGGGCGTCCTGTTAACAGATCCACTGGCAACCGAAGTTCCCGACCAAACATCAACTTTGCTGGAGTGTATCCAGTGGCTTCATGCTCTGCTGTCCTATAGGCTATCAGCAGTGGAGGCAGTAAGACATCCCAGTCATCTTGTTGAAGCTTCCTGATTTGGTATTGCATATGCCTCAGACCACTTGGTGAAATAATCCATCACCACACAAATGTACTTGTTTCCAGTACGAGTTTGGGGCAGAGGACTAGCAATTTCAATGACTACTCTTTCCATTCGTGCACCAACTTTATATACCTTCATTGGAGCACGTCCCTTATGCTTGGGTCCCTTTTTAGCACAGCATGTACTGCATGTTCTGCACCATTCTTCCACATCTGGCCTCATACCTATCCAGTAAAATCTTTGTCATAGGTGACTCAATGTCTTCTTAACTTTGAGATGGCCTCCTGTTAAAGTATCGTGGGATTGACGCAGCACAACTTCCCTTAACTTTCTCGGTATAACCGTTTTCCAGGTCGCCACTTTCCCATCTGCAATTTCCCATCTTCGGAGAAGAATACCATCTTCAAGCTTCAGCTGGTCCCATTGTGCCCAATAGTTCTTTGTCACAGGGCTTAGACTAGACACCTTCTCCCAAGCAGGGCACAAAACACTTGCTTTTAAAAAATCAATTTTTGGCTTCAAATCTTGGTCTTTCTCCTGTTCTGCTTTGATATCTGTATTTGGTTCCACTTCACCATCATCTAATTCTTTCA